CAGCTGGAGACAGGAAAAAAGCCACTGTGGCTGTCTCCCCTTCTGGTGACCCTTGCTGGGATTGTCTTGGTAAAGGCAGCCCTAAGCGTGGATAACTCCAGGGGGCATATCTGCTTCAAGAGCCAAATAAAAGCCTGGAAAATAAGCCTACCAGCAGCAGGTTAATGCAAATCAATAGTAGGTCTTATAGCCTGAACCTCTCTCTCAGGGACCAGCCAAAGGACGTGTCCTTCAGTCTCGTATCCCGCCTCGATTTGCTAAGAAGCAGAACAGTATGTGCCTGGAGCAAGGCGATGTAACTGTATCCGGAAGCAGCCTGGGCACAGAGATCTGGGAGAGCAATAGTTCAGGTATGAGAGGGTCTCCATTATTTGCCAACTTCATCGTTATGGAACTTGAATCGTGTTATGTTGAGGGAAAAGATGGGGGTGTACACATTAGGGATGTGAAAGGTTAACCAGTTCTAACTGCTGGTTCTGGTTAACCAGGGGTGTTTGGAGCAGCCCCGTCCATGTTGCAGGCAAGAGCTCCTGTGGCTGGCCCAGAGCTCCCCTGTGCACGGCGGGCTCGGTGGGGCTAAAGCAGCCCCTGTCAGCAATGGGCACAGCTGCTTTGCAGGCAGGGGTTGCTCCAGCCATCTAGAGCAAACCCTGTTCATGGCAGGCCCCCGCCCTGCCAGCCTCTCCTTTAATCAGTTAACCAGTTAAACATCATGTTTAACCAGTGAAATAGGATTTGAAGTCGATAGTGCGCATGTGCCCAAAGGAGAGGGGCTTCATCTACATTCCACTCTGAATCTAAAGGGGGAAGGGATCTGCAGATCTTCTAGGCTCATATGTAAAAACATTGCTGTTAAAATCATTATCATCCCTCAGCTCTGGTCATGTCACCCTCCTATTTAAATCCCTTCCCTGATTTATTTTTATACCATATCAAGTTTTAGCTTCTTGAACTTCTCTTCTAGGACCCACACAATTCTAGCCAGCCTACATCCTTGTAATTTCTGCAGCCTTCTCATCCTCTTGCTCCGTGTCCCTGAGCCTTCATCCAAACTATTTTGTTTGTTCCTTTTTCCTAGGGTGTGTCTAGACTACATGGCTCTGTCGACAGAGCCATGTAGATTAGGGTTGTAGGCAAAGGGAAATGAAGCGGCGATTTAAATAATTGCCGCTTCATTTAAATTAAAATGAGATGATGTTTACCGGGAAGGTCGACAAATGCCTTTGAAGTCGACTGCGGAGCGTCCAGACTACAGCGCTGTGCCGCCAAACAGCTGATCGGCACAGCGCGGCAGCCATTTTAATTTAAATGAAGCAGCGATTATTTAAATCGCTGCTTCATTTCCCTTTGCCGTGTCAACAAATCTACATGGCTCTGTCGACGGAACCGTGTAGTCTAGACGTGCTCCTACTGTGCTTTTCGGCCACAAAGCCTCCCCTTTTCATCCTTCCACTTTTCCCTGAAAATCTATCATCTTTCCCTTTATACTCTTATCTGACCTCCATTGGGGTGCCATGGCTCAGACTGTCTGCCCTGGAGTGTAAACATGTTGGGGTAGTGAATGTGTTTTTCCCTATGCTTGGGAGCAGAATTTACCTCATTATATAAATTATGTGCCTCACAGTTGATATCAAACCTTTGAAATTTGTCTCTGTTCTTACAGCCCTCTCCGTTCAGTCACCAGGCAGCGATTCCTGGAGTAAGCCTGTGAATGCCTTTAACGGCACTGAATCTAGTTCCACAGAGGTAAGGGGCACCCAATCTTGTGTGTGTGAGTGTGTGTGTGTGTGTGTATCTGAGTAGTATGCACGTACGTGGCTCAGCAGGTCTGTTAGCTCTGCTTGTGCAGTTTTAAATTGACAATTGACTACTCTGATTAAGCATGGTGCTGTTCTAAAATGGTAGTATTCACGTACGTGGCTCAGCAGGTCTGTCAGCTCTGCTTGTGCAGTTTTAAATTGACAATTGACTACTCTGATTAAGCATGGTGCTGTTCTAAAATGGTGGGACAAATTCTGCTCTGTTGCACACAGGTGTAATCCAGAGTAACTGCCTTGTAAAATTTCATCAGAATTTCACTCCTAATTGGAGTAGAGCATGGTCCAGTATGTGGAATCATGTTTGTGTACCTCTCCCCTGTGAGAAGTGTGTGGCTGTAGCTGTAATGTAGGGAGGATGCCTTTCATCACTAGAGACCGGAGTTCAAATCTGGTTTGGGTCATAAGTGAAATGAGTTTGGCAGTCTCAGCATGGTAGCCATGAGGGGCATTTTCATTGTTTTAAAGCTGCAATGGGATTGGTAATTTGGATGGTTTCTGAGTCAGGGTAGCCTAGCACTGGAATAGCAAGGGGCATTGCAGGTCAGGACTTGCTCCTTGATAGTTGTGCTTGGTAAATGGGAACGTGTTCTCGCTGTTGTTTTTCTCCCTGTGGAGTTGGGTTTGAATCTGGGGCTTTAACACATTTCGTGCTTTGCATAGCAGGGTTTTAAAGGCAGCCAGGGGGATAGTGGCATTGACTTGAGTGCGGAGTCTCGGGAATCTTCCGCTACCTCCTCTCAGCGCAGTTCTCCATATGGCACCCTCAAACCAGAGGAGATGAATGGGGCTGGCCTGGTGGACCCAAAGCCTGACTGCCAGAAGGAGCAAGTTCAGAAGCAATCTGATAAAAAGGTAATCTGGATTTGCAGCCACGCCAGAACACATAGTGACTGGTACCAGAGACCTTGTAAAATTAGGTTTATAGTTTTTCATCGCATTTTTAAGGTAGAGATCGGGTTATGCAGTCTTTGTGTCTCAGCCTCTCTGCTTTCCCATCAAGGATTCAGACCAAGGCTCAGGACAGAACAAGGAACACAAGCCCGGACCCATCGGCAATGAACGCTCCCTGAAAAACAGAAAGGGTTCGGAGGGAACGGAACGGCTGGAAGGGAATATCCCCCCTGTTAATGGGGTGGAAATTCACGTGGACTCAGTTCTTCCTGTGCCACCCATTGAATTTGGAGTAAATCCTAAAGTGAGGATTGAATTTAATTTTATCTTCTTGGTGGTTTGAAATCCCTCTTGTGAGCTTGTAGAGATGCAAAAGGTGGTTTTGGCAGAAGATTACCTAGGGCAAGCTTCCAGCACATGCACTGTAGATTGCCTCGTAGATTTCATTATTGACACAAACCAGGTTCTCAAGAAGTCTTGGTAGATGTTTATTATCCTGGATGGGGTGGGAATAGTAAGGGAGAAATTAAGGCCTGTTGTCCTGTGTATGCCATCGGGGATGCCTGTCGCTGAGTATGGAGAACTATTTTGTTCTTTACTGAAAGGAAATCTTTAGTTTCTATCCTCATGATCCAGGTAAATGTTCACTAATCATGAGCAATTTACAGGGGGCCCTTGGGCCTGGATTTGAGTAGTGCTTGTTGCCTTTTTCAGGACTCTGACTTCAGTTTGCCTCCTGGTTCTGCCTCCAGTAATGCAGCAAACCCTGTTGCCAAACTGCAGGATGCCTTGGCCAGTAATGTAAGTAAATCTTAGCTATGGAAATTGAGAAAACATTGATTTGCAGTTGCTTTGATATTTAATGTTGTAGTACCCACTTGATTTAAAAACAGCAGTGAAAATACAAGTGCTGTGTCTCAGATCGTGATCAGTACCTGGTTGGTTCAGACCCACACAAGCCTTTATAAGAGGTGACTCAAACACCTTTCATCAGCCTCTGTAAAGTAACAAGGCTTCTTTCAGGCAAGGCAAAGGGGTAGAGCAGGAGACAGGCAAAGGAACTTGAGAGTCCTGTTGCTGGACTTGTAAAGTTCTAACCACTGAAGTGCTTAGAGTGTTTTCTTTGCCACAGGCTTCTGCTTCCAAAGGCTCACTATCAGCCAACTAGGCCCCATGCTCATTTAGAGCTCATAATAAAATGTGTAGTTGGCTGGAACAGATTGCTAAAAGAAAATAGATTCAGAGTCCAAGCAGTTGTTTACAGTGATTTAAATAAAGACTGCTGCTGTAGAGTCCAATATCTGCTTGTAGTTCAGTTGTGTACAGTGATTTAAATAAAGACTGCTGCTGAAACGTCTTAATTTTGTAGCCCCGTATATCTGTTGGAGGTTTGTCGTTTTCTCCTTACAAGTGTTTATATAAAACAGACATACTCTGCTATTTACATAGGTTCACCATTGTGGAAGGAAAAACATTCTTCACGGCTGGTATTGCTGTGTACCAAATTAGCCCTGGGTGTAAGTACAAGTGCAGCTGCATGGAGATCAGGGCAATTATGCCTGCTTACACCAGGGCTACATTTGGCCCAGCATATCAGTTATGTGTTTACAGGTAGACCAGCTTTACGTTTTTACAATGTTGAGGCAACTCCATAGTCCATTTAAGAAGCTAAGAAGCAACAAAACAGGTTGGCTGCGTCTAGACTGCTTTTGCGGAAAAACTGCTTTTGCGGAAAAACTTACCAGCTGTCTACACTGGCCTCTTGAATTTCCACAAGAACACTGACTTCCTACTGTCTGAAATCAGTGCTTCTTACGGAAATACTATGCTGCTCCCATTTGGGCAAAAGTCCTTTTGCTCAAAGCTTTTGCGCAAAAGGGCCAGTGTAGACAGCTCAGATTTGTTTTGCGCAAAAAAACCCTGATCGCGAAAATGGCAATCAGGGCTTTTTTGCGGAAAAGCGCGTCTAGATTGGCACGGACGCTTTTCCGCAAAAAGCGCTTTTGCGGAAAAGCGTCTGTGCCAATCTAGATGCTCTTTTCCGCAAATGCTTTTAACGGAAAACTTTTCCGTTAAAAGCATTTGTGGAAAATCATGCCAGTCTAGACGTAGCCGTTGTGTTGCTGTTACTTACATATTCCTGAGGTTCCATTTGACTTGTCTTGCATAGTTCCTGTGTTGTTGCAGATATTCTTAGTGTTCAGTATTTTGCAAATCTCATTTCAGGGAGGGTTAACTCAGTCCATTCCCATTCTGCGAAGAGACCACCATCTCCAGCGGTGCATCGGCCTGAATCCAATGTCCTTCCCCACAGCAGACCTTACTCTTAAGGTAATTAAGGCACTAACTCTGCTTGTGATTGCTTTGAAAGTATGAGCCTCTTCAGCCAAAGCAGTAAAGGGGGAGAGAACAGCCTAGATGTTTCACTGATTAGTTTCAAAGTCTGTAAGTGGCCACTTAAAAAAAAAAAAAAAAAAAAAAAGTGTGGGGGGGTGTATGTAATGTGAATTCAGTTCAGGGAAGAAAAGGCCATTTTGAGGCCCTGAGTCTTGAAGTCTCCTCCAACCATAGAATGGGGGGTACTCCAAGCTTATCCACTTCAACTCTACCCAGGTACGACCATTTCATAGGGTACACGAGCCAGCAATTCAGTATTCATGGCCTGTTTGATCCTTGGCACTCTGCTGTGCCTGTTAACTAGTACTAACTGCAGTGGGTTTTTTGTGATGTGGGCACTTATCCAACAGCCATCAGGTGATCACAGTTTTTAGTGATTACCAGCCTGGGCTGGATTTGAACCAGTAATCTGTAGGGGAATAGTTCCTTAGCCCATCATTTACTGCCATTGAAAACACCTATAATAATTTCTTTCTCTTCTTGCTTCTATAGATGGAATCTGCACGCAAGGCTTGGGAGAACTCTCCTAATTTACCGGAACAGAACTCTCCAGGAGGTGCTGGCTCAGGCATCCACCCTCCTTCCAGTGTCGGTGCTTCCAGTGGTGTGAGCTACAGCTCTTTTGGTGGTGTTTCTATGCCTCCTATGCCTGTGGCGTCCGTAGCACCTTCTGCATCGATTCCAGGTAACTGCCAACTGTTCAGTTCATTCCAGATTTGCAGGCAGAAATGGGCCTTAGTAAAATGTCCCATGAGAGTTGTCCTGTTGGATAATCTACTGTGTTTGTGGTTACATCTTGGATCCAAGTGATAAAAGCTTGTTGGAAAGAGCATCCTGTTTAATGAGACAGTTGAGCAGCTAATGCTTGATTGATCCTTTTAACAAAACAGGTAAGGCATTGCCTTCCCAAAACTGCCTAACCTGCCCAGCCATCTTGAAGGGGCTGGAGCCAGGCCTCACAACAGCCCAGCTGCTGGAGAAGGCTGGGACTGCATGGCAGCCCAGCTCCCCAACAGCAGTGGAAAGCAGGGGCCACACAGCAGCCCTGGCCTTCACCTGGGGTGGAGCAGGGTTTGGTTGGGGAAGGAGGAGGAGAAGTTGTGAAGGGGCGTAATCTCAGGAAAGGGGTGTGTCTTTGAGCAGAAGAGGCGGAGCCACTCATGCTTGCATGTCAGCACCATGTGGCGCTCCCAGCTGGGAGCACTGCTTCCCAGTTCCGAGAATCCAGTCTGTCTGGGTACGTCTACACTACAGCGCTAGTTCGAACTAACTTAGTTCGAATTAGTTAATTCGAACTAAGCTAGTTCGAACTAACGCGTCTAGAACTAAAAACTAGTTCGAACTAGCGTTTTGCTAGTTCGAACTAGCAAGTCCACATTGAGTGGACTCTGAACAGGGCTTAAGGATGGCCGGAAGCAGTGCCGGCAGGGCATAAAAGGAGGACTTAGAGCATGGAGATGCTGTCTCAGGCTAGCCGAGGGCTGCGCTTAAAGGGTCCCGACCCCCACCCCGGACACACAGTTCTAAGGGGTGCCCCGCTTGCAAAGAAGTTCTGGCTTGGAGTGCCCTGAGTGCCCACACTGGGCACATCACACCACTCGGCCATCAGCCCGGCTGCACTTGCCGCAGGCTGCCATCTGGGGAGAGGGAGTAATTGGGGGGCTGCAGGAGAGCTTCCACCCCCAGAAGCCCGCAGAGCCAGCCCAGTCCTCCCCATCGGGGGCTCGTACCCCATTCCTCCCTCACCTCCTTCCACTTACCCTTCCCTAGCCCCCCTTCTTATTGATGTACAAAATAAAGATAACGTTTCTTCCAACATTGACTCTGTCTTTATTGAAAAAAACTGGGGGAGACTGGGAAAAGGAGGTGGGAGAGGGGAAGAGAAAGGCTGGGAGAGGGGAGGGCAACTAACATGATCAGGGGTTGGGAACAGGTCCCAGATGAAGAGAGGCTACAGAGACTGGGACTGTTCAGCTTAGAAAAGAGGAGACGGAGGGGGGACAGGATAGAGGTCTCTAAAAGCAGGGGTGCACAGCAGCCCTGGCCTTCACCTGGGGTGGAGCAGGGTTTGGTTGGGGAAGGAGGAGGAGAAGTTGTGAAGGGGCGTAATCTCAGGAAAGGGGTGTGTCTTTGAGCAGAAGAGGCGGAGCCACTCATGCTTGCATGTCAGCACCATGTGGCGCTCCCAGCTGGGAGCACTGCTTCCCAGTTCCGAGAATCCAGTCTGTCAGTTCTATGTGGTGCTCCCAGCTTGGGCTCTCAGCCCCCCTCATTGCCCTACTTGAGTTGGTGCAAGTGTTCCTGGTGAGGATGTACACCCCCAGCAGAAGGAGGGTAATTATGTGGCCCTAACACAGGTGGACTTAGGCAAGTCTCTTATAAGCAGAAAAGGCAGAACAGAAAATGTAGCCAGGATTTCTGAGTCCTGGGTTAGCGCCAGTGTTCCCTCTAAGCTGCGGGGCAGCACAGCTTCACAGGTGATTGGGGCTGATGGGAACACTGGTTAGCACCCTAAGAACTGGGCCATTCCTTTCCAGAGCAGGAGAGTGGAGATGGGCTGTACAAAGGACAGCTGCTAGTAGATGGATCTTTGGAGTGCCTAAAGTGAGGTCCACTTCCATTTAGAAAACAGACTCTTCACGGTCCAGGAACAGATGGTTTTTTTCTCATTCCTGCCTTATTTACAGTGCATACAGGATCACTCCGTGCTCCCTTCTTTGGTCCCGCATGTATGCTTAGCTTCTGAAGTAAATAGGTGCTCTGTCTCTTTGTCTCCTGCCTTTTGTTCTAGCTCCAAAGTTTTGATGTCAGCAGGGCAATCCAAGCTGACTGCCTTGGCCCTTAAGAATAGTTAGTAGGTTGGACTGTACATTGTACTGTGCCTGTACCATTCTGTGTCCCTGGGATCTGCTTTGGCTGGAGTGAATAAGGTTACCTTGTCACATTCGTCTTTCCCTTTTAATTCAAATTCTAGGTAATCACATCCCACCCCTATATCTGGATGGTCACGTGTTTGCGAGTCAGCCACGTTTGGTCCCTCAGACAATACCTCAGCAGCAGAGCTACCAACAGGTAAAAAGGTTCAAGGCACTTTTATGGGGTGAGCCTTAGAGTTTCCCCTTATTCTTTCCTCTTTTAGTGGGCCAGCCTACTGCCAGCTGAGGGGAGCTAGATTGTGGCTCTGTTCAAAATCTATGAAAGATTCCCAGGGGATGCTACAAGCAGCTAATAGGAGATCAGGCTGACTGGCATGGGGAAGTAATACCGATTTTGGCACCCATATCCTTTGACTGGGTTTAACTGGGGTAGGGTGTGGAAAACTTTCCTTTGAATGACAGTGTGTGCCTCTTGGTAAACTTGCCAGTACTGTCCTTAGTGGAACTTGAAAATCTATTTGAGCCTCAGACCAGTTCCCTGTGGACAAGTGTCCATGGCCTCAAAATCATCAGGTAGACAGTACTAGCTGGCAGCTCTGACAGTGTCAGCAAACAGGGAGTGTTGGGTGGGCAGTGGAGAATCCCTCCATGTAGGAGTTGAGGCACAGTGATAGAGCAACATGGGAACTGACATAGTCGCTGATGCGATGGACTTGTTCTGTACACAGAGAGCTGGAGTCCCCAGGAGAGTCAATCTGATCCTTTCTGTGAGTTCTGTCTCACATAGAGCCATTATTCACTTCCTGTTCAATCACATGACATTGGGGCATTTGGGGGGTGTTGCAGGTTGGATAACTTTTGTGGTGAAGTAACTAGCTAAAGAAAAAGCTGGTCTTTTAACACCACAGGAGGGTTTCTGGCTCCCTTAGTGTCCTTTCAATCCTTTTGTTTCCTCTGCAGGCTGCCGCTGCTCAGCAGATTCCGATTTCCCTTCACACGTCTTTACAGGCCCAAGCTCAGCTTGGTCTGAGGGGAGGCCTGCCTGTCTCCCAGTCCCAAGAGATCTACAGCTCCATACAGCCCTTCAGGTAACAGTTCCTGGTTTGTTTCTCAGTGGACAGAGCTTTCATGCTGTGATCTGCAAAATATATCCGCTGGGATGTTCTTTCCCCTTCCTCCTCTCCCTTGCTAATGTCCTACCTTTGCAATTTTCCATCCTCTTCCCTGCCCTCTTCCACGAGTGTTTGCACGCTACTCCTAACAGATGTAGAAGAGAGATTGATTCTTGTGTAAATAAGTGAATGCCACGTAGACAATCAGGGAGGTGAGATTACTTCCATATATGTCATTGGTGAGCCTGTGGTTGGAATGCTTTGTCCACTTACGATGCCCACACTTCAGAAAGGGCATTGAAATACTGGGAGATGTTCAAAAAAGAGCTACAAGAATGATCCATGGGCAGGAAAAATAACACTTTAGCAAAGTGAGAAAATTCAAACTGGAAATAAGATTCAAATTTAAAAGCAGGGGTAACTAACCACTGGAACAGTTTACCTAGGGCTGTGGAAATCACCATCATTTGGTGTCTTCTTAAATCAAGATTGGATGTCTTTCTGAAAGATATGTTCTGGTTCAGCCATAAGCTTTTGGGATCATAGGAGTTAGCACGTGACATTTTGGGGACTGCATTATGTGGGGCACTAGATCAGTGTTTCTCAACCAATGGTACGAGTACCCTTAGGGGTACTCGAGAGAAGTCTGGGTGGTACATCAACACAACCGAAATTTGAAGAAAACTGAATTTTTGTTTTAAGTTTTACAGCGCTTTATTATTTTTGTACTTTTTACACCCAAAAATTTCATCACCTGGCTATGATTAAGTTGTTTAAACGAATGTGTTGCAATGATTAAAAAAAATGTGTGCATCTGAAAACTATAAATACTAGGGGTACTTATAATTTTTTTTAAAGGGGTTACTTTATAAAAAAAAAAATTGAGAAACACTGCACTAGATGATTGTAATGGTCCCTTTCGGCCTCAAAATAATCTTGATAAAAGTGGCTTTCTACAGTAATGCTAGGGCCAGGCAAATCCTGTGTGAATCACTTTTACTCTTGTTAGACTACTGTGGGAGTGTGAGGTATGTCCACACAGTATTTGGCAGAGGGACGGTTGCTGCTTACTGGTCTTTATGTGGTGCCTTGGTCTGTGCTTTACATCAAAGAAGCTGATCTGCTGGACTTTTGGCCCAGAAGGCTTGGTTCTCTCCTGCCAATGGAGATTTCCCAACTGCCTTAGGAAACATTCATCTTTCTGTAAAATAGCTATTACCATTGAAGATGTTCTGATGTCACTTCATTGCCACTATGATGTTCTGATGTCACTTCATTGAACTTTGTAAAGGGAGACATATTGATTCCATTGAAATTGGTGACAAAACTCCTATTGACTTCAGTGAGATGGGGACTTAGCCCTAGGAGCTTTAGGATTAGTGCTAAAGGAGCTGTACAGAGTTAAATTCTAGATCTGAAAAAAGTTGGAACTAGAGGTTTTTATTCCCTAGTTGATCTTTGTATTCGAAATTACCTCTTAGAATGCCGCTTGCAGCCTGCTAGCTAAATGCAGTTTAGGAAGTTGTATGCAGTCCCTAATAGGCTTTATCGTTGTGCATTAACCTGTTTCTCTTTTTTAGGTCTCAGGTGTACATGCACCCAAGTCTGTCCCAGCCCAGTACCATGGTCCTGACGGGAGGTGCTGCACTAAAGCCCCCATATTCCGCCTTCCCAGGCATGCAGCCCTTGGAGATGGTAAAAACACAATCTGGGTCCCCTTATCAGCCAATGAGTGGAAGCCAGACACTGGTTTACGAAGGCCAGATAAACCAAGCGGCCAGCATGGGAGCCTCACAGATGATGGATTCCCAACTTACACAGGTTAGGAACAAAACTAGCATGCCCCCCTGTTGTCTGTACATGCTCAGAGAAGTCAGTTTCTGAGATGGGGTCCCAGATGCTGTTTGTGATGCACCGTACACTTTCATCAGTAAGGCCTTCATGAGGAGACAGTATTGACATATACAGTATTGAGATCTAGCACATCAGACTTTGAGGTGCTTTACTTGTTACGTGTATCTCTGTGTAAACCACATAATGGTTAACTTAGTGAAATTAAGTACTCTCTTTCTACTGATGGCAAAGGTCTGTGATTTGTGTGTCCATTACTGATGCGACTGCTCCTTTGCAGTTCCTTAAACCCTCTTACTGTGCTTTTGGGATCTTATGCCATGATGTCACAGCGATAGCTGCCCTCAAAGCCCCAGCTTCAATAGGCCAACACCAGTGTTCCGGCTTAGATTTTTCCATCCGTGAGCGGAGTGAGTTTTGTCTTGTGCACCAATATTGCGCTCACATGCACTTGTTCGGATATGTGCCACCATGGCACCCATGTTAACAAATGCCTTGTATATATTTTTTCAAATGTTAGGGAAGAAAGAATACTAAAACAAGAGATAATTAACAAGGTGCATGACATTAAATGTTTTTTATATGAAGTCAAATAAAAAGAAAATTAATATTGCAAAGTTTTCAGTCGCCAACTTCCTCTGTTTATAGTCCTCTCCCAGACCCTCCCACAGCTGGACTAGATGATCTCTTGGGGTCCCTTATGGTAAAACTGGCCTGGACCCTGTGCTGAGGTGACAATAAGTTATTTAAAAGATACATGATATATAAATGTTCCTCCATTAACTACTGTCTAGCTCATCTAGCAGAATGCATCCACCTTCACTTCCATGTTCTGGCCTCCACCTCTGCTAGACAAGTGAACAGAGTTGGTTGGAGATGAGAGAAGTGTTCAGAAATAGAAATTGTGGTTCAAATTAACACTCATTTCCATTTCTTTTTACTAAGCTATTATACCAAAATCCCTTAGCATTAGTGTCAGTGGTGTTGGACACAGCCCAGAGATTAAAACCTGGCCAGGTGATCGATTTACTTTTCTTCTCAGAGTGATGCTTTTTACACTGGATGTGTATTTTAGTCTAGTGGTGTTGGACACAGTCCAGAGATTAAAACCTGGCCAGGTGATTGATTTACTTTTCTTCTCAGAGTGATACTTTTTACACTGGATGTGTATTTTAGTCAGAGGGAAATATGTTGTAGCCTTTATACTTGCCTCCTTCACAGGCAGCATGAAGTCACCTCAGCACATGGTTCCTCTCTAGGCCCAGTTTGACTGCTGCTGCTAGGCCAAGCCAGACATTTTCAGTCCTTGCTCAGCCTGCTCCTCAGACTACAAGTCCCAGACACCTTTGGGCTGATTCATGCCAATCAGAAGCAAGGCGGAAGTGTGCAGGCTGCTGGGGCTTGTAGGTAGCTGCTTCCCTCAGGGGCTGTGGAGTGGAGGAGACGGCCAGGCTCCGCCCCAGCCAGGGGAGAGACAGATGGAAGTCTTTGGGGCACGAGAGGCAGGTATCTATTTGCTGCTATCTCAGGACTGCTAGGGCCGGGCAGGCATGAGGCGAGACCAGAGTCGGCCTCTGGCTTTGCCATCCGAGCCGGCAGTGCCTAAGTCCTGCTCCTGGCATTCCCGAGCCCTGCAGTGCCAGGCAGGCAAGCCAGGAGCCTACCTGCTCTTGTGGTATGCAGAGCGTGCTCTGCTCCGGGCTCTAAACCCATCCCTGCAGCCAGCTGAACAGCAAGCAGAAGGGGGACTGCTGTTGTGGTTAGGTTTGCATTGTGCACTGTTCCTTGCTGCCCTAGCCTGGGTGGGGGCCCCTGCCGTAAGTGGAGCGGGGTAGGTTGCCCTTGCTGACTTTGCACTAGTCGAACATGAGTCGATTTGCTGCCCTGCATCAAAGCTGGCTGCCATCATTTCTCTGAGACCCCTGAAGCAGCGACTGCCAGAGGAACTGACCTTGCCTTTTCAGTAGGAGAGGTATGTCCAATATGGACAGCCTCAGTGCAGCACATGGGGCAGCTCCCCGCCCTGCAGTTCTGCCAGCCAGTCCACATGGCTGCTGCTGGAGCAGGAACCCTCCATGCTACTCACCTTCCAGCAGGAAAGTGAGTGCTGCTGTGCGATTCTGCAAAGGAGTTGGGTGGGCCGAGAACATTTTGTCCGCAGCCGCGCACCTTAGAGAAAACTATGGTCAACACCTCCCCATATTTTTAGTAACCATTGAAAAATCATCAGTGCTTTTAGGGTCATTTTGTTTGACCTTTAACTAAAGACATCCCTCTTTATGTCAATTCATTGATCATCTTGGCCTAATTAATAATTTTTGCTAGTCTGGTGGGTAGAATCTTAATAGAAGTTTCTTTCTGTTTTTGTGTCTTTCTCTTGCTTTTTTCTTTATTAAACATAGTTCAAAAAGCACAATGAATCCTACTGTGAGGGCAGCTGTGTTTATATGGACACTGAGCACAACTATTGAGTTGCTAACATGGAGAAGTATTGTCATTGACTATAAACTTTGCTTATATTGTGCAATAGAGTAAATGTTTAAAAATATAATGATAAACAGACTATTCCTAATCTTTTTTATCATAAAGAGGGACTTTCATGCTGAGGCAGACTCAAAATCAGCAATGGGCAACATAGGTTAACGAGTGGGCCAAATGAGTGGCTTTCTTTCATCTCAGTGGACCGCAAGACTGTTGTAACGAAGATGGTCTTCCAGGATAGGGTAGTTTTACTAACTGTACTTATGAACTTAGAATTTGCGGGTGTGCCGATTGAACTGTAGCAGCGCTTTGATTGGATGCAGAGGGAGCATACAGCTCTCATGGTCAGTGTAGTGTGCAGTCAGCTTGCACCTCACTTTACGTATGTATCACTTTAGTAATATCTGTATGAAAAAACCTACACAGCCACAAACCAGCAGAATCTGCCAACCTTGCCGGTGGGCAACAGTAAATAAAATGTCTTGCGGGTCACACACAGAGTTCTGATGGACAGCTTGTGATCCATGAGCCGCAGGTTGCCCATCACTGCTCGAGAACAAGAATTGTTAATTACAGAAAGTAACTTAACAGGGGGGAATGAAGAGGTTACTGGCCAACTGAGTATTTGAAGAAGTGCTTTATTCCTTGTAACCTGGTGTTGCCTTCCTGGATCACATAGTGAAGCCTTAATCCTGTCATTACAATGTGGTGTCATGGGAAGTCGCAGATCCAGCAATTATGTGAACTACCCAGTCGAATAAAAGGGAATGAGAGGCTGCAAGGGAGAGAACTCTTTGAAAAATCTCTGATAATTAGCAAAAGTGGCAAGGATCAGAAGGAAAAACCACATGCAAAGTGAATAGGTTTCTTGGACAGCGTGATATGTAGGGGCACCCACTTCATTAAAAAAAAAATAGCAAGCCTTGCTGCTGAGGATCAAGGCAGTGTGTCTGAACTGAGCCTGAGTTTGTAAACGGTAAGCTCTTCTCGCCTCTTGTTCTCCCTCCAATGTTGTATGTGCCCTTTTGAAAATTTAGTCTTTTTTAATAGCCATTGAGTCCTCAGTTAATTTTTAATCACTTTTAACAACCCCCGTCATCAATTGTTTCAAGAAGGGATTGAAGCCTGTCATGGAACGTAAAGCTGAGGCCAGTCTGAACCTTCCTGATGTTCCAGTCCCTGAAATCACATCAGCAGAGGAGTTTAGCAGATATTTAGATGTGGACATCGAGCTGAAATCAAAAGGTGAGCTGTCTGACGCCATTGTGGCTGCCATCACCACTCAGAGGGCTTGCCATGCTGTGGCCACAAGGAAGACTGAAGAAGAACCAAGGAAGGCTCCAGGCGATCAGGAAAGCCCTGTGTCTGAGCACCGTCTTGCTAGAGCAACACTTTATTAAAAGAACACATGGTGTGGTTACAGAGTCTGGCAACTCTATCTTAAGATGATTTTCAGTATGAAAGTCCCTCTTTAATGTTCACGTCTACATTTGTTGTGTAGCAGTGTGTCAGGTTTGAGATGCTTCTTTCAAACTGTGGTTTAAAGGTGTTAGTAGGGGACATGTTTAGATGGGCCATTGTTATTTCCATTAAGTAATCACATGTAAATTATCATGCAGCTAACAATGCCTATGCCTGGGTCCCAGCTTCCTCTGCCCCGGTATGGTTCTGGCCAGCAGCCACTGATTTTACCACAGTCCATCCAGCTTCCTCAGGGGCAGAATCTGTCTGTAGGAGCTCCCCGCAGAATTCTTCCACCTGGATCTCAGCCTTCTGTCCTCACTACCAGCAGGGAGGTAAGGGCTATGTACTGCATGAACACCTTGACATTCTTTCAGGAGCCTTGCTTTGGGGTTTGGTCCCTCCATAGTTTCCAAAAAAATAAAAGGAAAAGGGAAGCCTCTTGTGGGGATACAGTTAATTGTTAATGGGGAGGAAGTCTTGCTTGCTTACTAGGCCTTATCTTCCAAACAAGTGATCTGAATGGAAGCAAAGGGGTGCCATTCCTCCTGTCTGCAGAGCCCACGCCAGCAGTTTCTCCAGTTCTACAGCGGTTTGTGATTCCACTTCCAGGAATCAGAACCTAACTGGATTAAATTAAATGTAAATGCTCAGTGTTCTAAGAGATCAGTGAAATGGTAAACCGTTGGCACGTGGTGGAACGCTGCTCATAAAGTGTAACACAGTTGTAAAATGCCTCCATCTGAGTAGATATGTCAGGTTCGTGTTTGGTTAGATGTATACTTATAAGGAGTGTTTTTGAATGGAGAGAACATGGGTGGCTAGAACTCAGGCCTATGTGGTCTCTTCCTTTTTGTGCCTCAAATTTAGGCAAGCCATTTTGCTTGAGTGTCTCAATTTCCCCCTCTGTAAAATGGGACTCATACCTGCTTCATGGCGGTGGGGCTAAACATTGATTGAAGTGTTTGTGAAGTGCTTTGAGATCTTTGGATATATAGAAGACACTTTCTTACTCATTTCCCTTCTCAGTCCTCCCAAATGGAAATGAAAGGGTTTCACTTCACAGATGGTAAACAGAACATGTCCTCCGGAGGATCTGTACCATCACCTCATACTTACAGGTAAAGGATCCAGAGATTAGTCCCATAGCTCCTGAATGAGGTCTTGGTTGGAAAGGGTAGACTATTAGCACTTGCAGAGAAATGGTGTTTGTGTCACGCTTCTGCAGGATCCAATAATATTTTCAAATGTAGAATTCTTACTGGTGCTTCTTGCCAAAGTGGAAATGCTGGGAGGTGGAATAAATGTCAGAATTCTAGTTTTGTCTTCACAAGCCCAAGAAGTTAAAGGGCTCATGTCCAGAAACTCTAAAACCTCAGGCTCTAAGTCTCTTAATTAGGTTATCTCCTCCATCTAGTGAATGTGCTTTCACTTGGGTTGGTATTTTTAAGAGCCCAACTGGCCATATAAGGATATCCTAATGCACAACTGGCCCTGCTTCTTGCATTCTCTAAAGGGACCTTTCTTTCACACTGACCATGTTCTTGTTCTATCAGTAATACTCCATGTATACTCTCATCCCTTTGATTTCTAGGCCTAACTCTGCCAGTCCCAGTGGGAAGACGTCTGGACCAGCAGTCAATATGGGTTCCATGCAAGGACACTATGTACAGCAGGTAGAGAATGTTAATACCTTTGTGAGTCTAGTCCTGAGGGTATCTGCTCTTGCATGTTGCCAGATTCATAGCAATCCTACCATTGTTGCTTTCCCTTGCCATTCCTGTGTGTTTGTGTACCTTATCTAGATATCTATGGCTAGACAGTCAGGAAAACTGACTGATTTCTCCTTAATGTGATTCTGTTCAGGGCCAGCGTGATTATTTGTGAGGCGCTGAGTTCGGACTGGCCAGCTGGCTAGCATGGGGTGAGCCTCAGCATGGACACAAGCTCGAGCACTGGCTGATTGAGCTCCGTGCTCACTGGGTGGCATCCTTCACCACCTAGCACCCCAGCAAAGGGGAGCACAGTTCAGTCCAGTCTTGGCCTGAGCTGGCCACCTCCTAGCCCTCCCTGGGGCTGCTCAGGCAGCCCTACTCATTTCCAGCATGTGGCTGCCAGGAATGGCTGGGTGATCCGGGCTTGCCACGGACGGTTACTCCCCCTTGGAAGTCCACTTGGGATGCTGGGCTCTGCATTGGAGGACAGAGAGCCCAGCAGGCTGGGGAGTTCACTGCACCCTGCCCATCCCAATGGCTTAGCTCGGCACTGGCTGTATTCACTGCAGGGAGCTGCGTGGAGCATGGTTCGAGGCTGGGTACAGGTGGGGAAATAGCCCTGTGGGCTTGTTGGCTGGAGGGGGGGACCCTGAAGCCAGGCTCCTCAAATCTCAAGCAGGGTCAATAATAAAGCACTGGGCCATATGTGGGGGAACCGACTGCACACACCTCATGCCGGCCCTTATTCTGTAAAAGGGCTTTCCCTGCGTTTATGCTGTTTGGTATTTTTATTTGAATAATCATAGCATCTAGGAGCCTAAGTCATTGGCCAGGACTCTAGTTTGCTAGACATAGTTCTAATAAGTGGGTACTGTTATAGTAATATTGGCTCCTTGATTGTTACCATCCTCCTGACTAAGTTTTATCTGTTATAAATTAATTTTGTTAATTATTGAGCACTCTAGTGGGAGATAAGGGCATATCCGAAATAAAATATATTACCCCATCCATTTTTTGGTCTTTATCTATCCACACACGAGGCCAAATGACTGAAAACTTACAGGGAAAGTGATAGAGAAGCTACCTTGATGGTGTAACCAGGAGTTTTATCTCTAAAAGTGGAGAATGGCACATAACTAGGCTGTGACACCTTGAGAGTCTTTTTGTTTTCCCTGTTTGTAAAAATTGGGGAGGGGAGAAGATGTTGAAGCCAAAATACCTTATGACTAGATTTGTCCTAAGGAGACGAAGGGGTCAGTGTGCAGGTAGCCCCAAGGGAGAAAGGACTGCTGTATCACCAGCGGGCACCGCAAGGGGAGGGGTGCATGTCCCCCGGGTGGGACAGGTCCAAGTTAGTCTGTCCCCTGCACTCTCCAGCTATAGTGAGCAATGCAGCAAACTGTGCACTTTTCCCTTGCTCTCTGATGAAGGAGAACAGCCAGCAGTGTTCCTGTACTGGGGTGGAGGTTCAGGACTGGGACAGTCCGGGGGTTGGGAAGGCTGGCATCCCCAGCCAGCCCTTTATACCCTCCTAGTGATATTCTCTTTTCTGTATGGTTTTACGAAAAGCACTCCCATTTTCCTGGCCCAGCCAAACCCTTACCTCGCCTTAAGTTATGATAAAAGGAAGCTGTATGCCAAATTTGGTGGGCCTAGCTCTTAACATTTAGGAAGAGTTCTTGACGGACAGATGCACAGACAGATAGATATAGTAGATTGCAAACTATTTTGGGATTTTTACATGTGAAGTCCTTTAGAAGGGCCAAATGCCTCAGCAATAGGGAATAGTAGAATTTTGGAGCAAATATCAGCGACTGTCTAAGAAATCTTGTAGGAGGAGATAACAGCTTCAGTGCACAGCCAACAAAACAGGTTTTAGCTATATTGCTGGGTGTGAGGTACTCAGAGCCTATGGTGACAGGCCACAAAAGTATCTGCGTATATCCAGGAAACAGAGGTGAAAGTGGTATGAGAAGTGGCTGTTGGTGCAGCCCTGTACACAGCTGACGTTAAAGCACTGCAGTGACAGCGTTTTAATATCGCTGCCCCTTTTGCACCCTCTCCTCCCCCCTCCCTGGTGTTGGTCCTACCGATAGGGTCCAGCAGCATTTCCACAGTGGCACTTTAATGTCACTGCCCCTCTCTGTCCTGGGACGTCAATGGAGTGCGGGTGCAAAAGGGGCAGCAGTGTTAGCCAGCGGGGGCAGCACTTTGCCTGGGACCCGGCCAGTTTAAAGGGACCAATAGGCTGTGTGCTGTGCAGCACTGATGGGCTGGCTGGGGGAAGCTGGTCCACAGCCTGGCCCCTTCCAGTGACCCAGAGCTGAGGCCCTGTACCAGTAAGATTTTTAAATTACTTTCACCCCTGCCACGAAGGGGTAATCCGAAGCGAGAGGGGGAAAAGTAATTGAGCAATGTCTGGCAGAGAGGTAGCCCAAGTGATAGTATGCAGGTTGCTAGACCCCACTTTAGGGAAGTTGATGTTTCTTTTATGGCTGGGTGGGCGGGGGGGAGGAGAGGGGGAGACCTTTGGTGAGGGACCTTGTCAAAGGCTTTCTGAAAATCTGTGCTCTGTCCTCTCTATGCAGGGCCGGCCTTAAGCTGATTCAGCTGATTCGGCCGAATCGGGCCCCATGCCTAAGGGGGCCCCATGCCCCTGCACCTGGAAGTTGCTCCCTCGGCTCGGCTCCTTGTCGCCCTTACCTGCGCATGCTGCTGGCTGCTCCTGCTGTGCGTTCAGTTTGCAGGTGGGCGGGGAGATTTTAAAACTGAAAAGTGCCACGCGGCCGTGGCTGTGGCGCACGCAGTTCACAGTACGGCTCGGCAGACAGCAGAAGGTAGGGGAGCAGGAGCGGGAGGGGCTTGGATGGGGTTTGAAAGGAAGGGCCTTGAATTGAGGGGGGAGGAAGAGGCTTGTACGGAGGGAAGGGGGAAGCCAGGTAGATAAGGCTTTGGGGTACACTTGCTGGCCCCCACTTCTGCATTTATCATGCCAGAGTGGGGAAGGAGCCATGACAAGGGGAAAGCACCAAGGGACAGGGTAGAGGAGAGGCAAATGCCAGGGGGCCAAGTGGAGACAATGAGGAAAAGGGCAGGAGGGGAGGTGTCAGTGGGAGGGGGGACAGAGTAATGCTGGGAGAGGAGAGTAAGGGCATTGGTGGTTAGAGAGGGGAAGAGGGAGGTGCTGGGAGACTTGAAAGGAGGGGTGGGCACGAGAAAGGTGGGGATGGAGCAAGGCGTGTGAGGGCACAGAGGGGCATGAGGTGAATGGGGCAGAGAGTGGTGAGGGGGGGGGCATCAGGGAAAAAAAGGGCAAAGGGGGCAGGGGCAGTGAGAGAACGGGGAGCACCAGGAAGGTGCAGGGCTAAGGGAAGGTGCAGGTGCCAGGGGATTCTGGGTGTGAAGCAGAAGGGGAGACACCTGCAGGGAAGGGACCAGCACCAGAGGGGAAAGGCATGGGAGGTGTGTAGAGGGAGGTTGTTAGAGAGGGGTACTCACATGATCAGAGTGGGTCTACTGGAGGAGTGGGCACGGAGGGGAAAGGCATGGGAGGTGTGTAGAGGGAGGTGTTAGAAGAGGGGTACTCACATGATCAGAGTGGGTCTACTGGAGGAGTGGGCACGGGGAGGGAGAAGGGCTGGTGGAGGGGGGCAGGTTGCAGGAGGGCTGAGGGCAGTGAGAAGGGCAGGAGTCAGGACAGTAGAGGAGGGCAAGGAGTTGGTGGGCAGCAGGCACCAGGGGAGATGATGGAGCAAGGAGAGGAGACATGGCAGCAGACAGAAAAGGTAAAGGTTTATAAAATGTTTATTAATAATGCGGTATGCTGCCCACGGCCAGTTTGTTTGCGCCCCACGCTGCAGTTTGGGTTTATGTGGGGATCAACACATGGCCGGCGAGTGGGAGCCAAAACAAAAGTAGTCAGTGTAATGATCTTCTGTTGATATGTGTTTTAGTAGTTAAATTCTTGGACTGTCATTGCTCATGAAAAGTGCTGTCACATGGGTAGAAATCAGGTAAATGTTGCATTTTGTTAATATCAGCAGAACTGACTTAAATGGGGCCTGTGTGTTGTGTAGTCTTGCCTTAATCTTTGTATTCATGCCTGTCAGTGTGAGAGAAGCTATTTGTATATATTTGCTTGCATATGCAACCACACTTAAGTTGAGGCCCTCAGCATGTTCTGTAAGTATCAGTGTAGCCCCTGGGGCTTCCAAAGTTGAGTTGTCCTAGCTCATCCCTGACAGGTGTCTGTCGAACCTGGTCTAAAATATCTGCAATTTAAGCCCATTGCTTCTCATCCTAACATCAGAGGCCAAGCAGAACAATTTTTCTTCCTCCTCCTTATGATACTCTTTTAGATACTTGAGAGCTGCTCTCATGTCCCTTTTCGGTCTTTTCTTTTCCAAGGTAAACAAGGCCAATTTCTTCAGCCTTGACTCATATCTCATGTTCTCTAGACCTTTCATCATTTGTGTTGATCTTCTCTGGACTTTCTCCAGTTTCTCCACATTTCCTGAAATGTGGCGCCTAGAACTGGACATGATACTCCAGCTGGGGCTAATGTAGATGGCTCATTCCCTGCCTAGGGGACGTGAGACTGGGTGGGTTAATTTCCAATCCTCCTGTTTATTCTTTTCCTAAGGAGGGCACAGTAGTTCTGATGGGGCTTGGAGAAGGGATGGAAGCCAGATCCAAGATCAATGAGCCCTGGGAAGTGGGCCCATTGTAAAGAGACTGGACCTGTGGATGCCTTGAGGGTCAGCAACAAGGGCCTGCTTTGGGAAGCCCCCTCTTTGGAGGTGAATGTGGCAGCATTGAGACATCACGCAGAAGCAGGCACCACAGACACTAATGCAGATTCATGGGATGGCTCTCACAGATCTTGCACATGCATAAGATGATAGATCTGCAGGAGGGGGAGCAGTGGCGTGAGGGGGGCGAAGGGGTCAGTTGCCTCTGGGAGAAAAAATAATATAAAATTTAGCTAAAAATAGATGTCACACGTTTTTAAAAGGAATACCGTATCTCCTGCCTGTTGTCTTATTTTTGTCTCTTTAGGCCCCCAGTTAAAATTTTCAAAGGCACTTGAGTGACTAGAGTTATTTTTGAAAATTGGACTTGGAAATCTAAGCTCAGATTTTCAAAGGTAATTAAGCTCCTAAAAAGACAGTTGCCAACTCAGATCTTCAAAGATATCTATCTGATCTTTACACATCTTTGAAAATCTGGTCATAAGTGTCCTAGTCAGTTCTGAATGTGAAATGTAGGAGCCCAGTCCTAATTCCTTCAGCCATTTTTTTTTAATTTAAACATTTACCTACACTAATTCCTCTCCTCTTTCACTATCCAATAAATGCATGGATCAAAATTATAGATGCTTTTTGAATATGCTGACTTGAGAGTGGAAAGATTTCATATTGTCATGTATGATTCCTGGTAACCCATCTCAAATATGAAAAACTAGGTTGATACCTGTTCATATCAGGAGCTGTTGAATTCAGTTTACCATTTGCAGTATCTCATTAGGATGTTTAGTGGAGAAGATATTGGGTGTGTGTGTGTTTTATTTATACTGTGGGCAAAGTATGGGCTCACAAGAATTCCTCCATTGTTTTACCATGAGTCTCAGAACATTTGGTGTTTTTCTAAAGGCCTGGACTCAATTGATTATGTAGGAATCTCAGCTTTCATTTAAAAAAAGTTCTCTATACTTCTGGGCCTTACAGCTAAGGAGGAAAGCTTTAAAACATGAACCTTAAATACTCAAGAAACAAAAGGCCAATAAAAATCCAACATGTTTTATTTTTAAAATATCTTATGATTTGTAGACCATTCTCATAACTGTGTATAGGCGTTCCTTGTGATTTTTTTGGGTTGGCAATACTGCTCTTTGGTGAATTTAGAGAGGTCTCTCCCTTCAGTTTCCCTTTCCACCCTCCTTTTTTGTCACAGGTCATCAGAGAATCATAGAGACAATGGAGAGTAGGGTGAGTTCATGACTATGGTTAATGACTGGTCAGGGTGACTATTATCAGCCAGTGGTCTGAATGAGCTATCTACTGCCATCTGTTAATCAACTGTAGGAAAAGGCTTCAGGAGCAGACCTTATTTATATAGACAACTTACTTTGCCACAGAGATCAGTAGACACACTTGCTGTGTCAAGTTGATCAATTTTGGCTCTTTTGGGTTGAAATTCACTTAAGACTTGGAGCTGGGAGAATGAAATGTTGTTATCCATATTGTATGATTAAAAGGTTAAAGACCTGAACTTAATATGACCTGGCTTAGGGTCTACCATAACTTGAACACTAAGCAGAGGATAGTGAGTCACATCTAACTGAAAGTCACAAAAGATGGAAACAGGTTTTATTTCTGGTGATGTAGAGTCTATTTGGGAGTCCTCAATTATATCTGACACTTTACATCCAGTGTTTAAAGGCAGAGCTAACTAGAATCAATTGAGTCCTTGTCTTGTCTCAGTGATCGCTTGAGCAAAAATCATTGCTGAAATCTTGTGTAGACTGACCTTGGACTCAACATGCAGGCAATGTATTGAAGGGCAGTGCAAGGAGGCCAAGGAGGCAAGGGCAGCGGAAGGAGGCCATATTACCTAGTGAAATCACTGGTGCTGAAATCACTAAGGACTGGAATTTGACCACAGAACTGACACTTTCTTCACAAAGACTCCATTTTTGCTATTTAAAAACTAAATCAATTAAACAGAAAACAGCAACGCTCTCTGGTAACTTTTTAAAAATCAAACTTTAAACTTTATTGAAAATTGGATCTTTTGCAATTGAAAATATTTGACCTACACTTAAGGCAATTGATTTAATTTTGTGTAAAATTTTGCATAATAAAGGATGGCATTTTTTTGAAAATGTTCAATTATATAGATATGATTTTGATCAGATCTACTTGATGTGATATTTGTGTGTGGTTGTGGTTTGGGTTGCTTTTTTTTTCTCTCAACAAAAAATCCGGGGGGGCGCCAAAACGGTTCGAACTGGGCCCCGCACTTCCCAAAGCCGGCCCTGTCAGCACTGCACAGGCAGCTATGCTATACACCTTGTCTGCTTGTTCCTAGGTCCCTTGCTTAGCTAACTCTTTGTTTCCCTATATCAAAAGGCAAAACAGCGAGTGGATGAAAATAAAACCAACCTGGGAGCTATAAAATTGCAAGAACCATCCTCCACAAACCAGATGAAGCCAGTGCGCACAGGAGCGATCAAGCCTCAAGCAGTAAAAGTGGAGGAAAGCAAGGCCTAGCACAGCCTATGATCACCAGCTACCAAGAGAGGCATTGCAGCACAGCCTGTACCCCACTGGAAGTTATGAAAATCTGGCCAGATCCACCATCAACCCAAAACTGACTGACTGACACAACGTAATCCAGGCCTCCTCTCAACAAAGCAGTTTGAAACAGCGGATATGACATTTACCTGCTTGTTCAAAAACCAAACCAACCACTTGCTCCCACGTGACTATTGAGTGGCTCAAGCCATTTTTTTTTTCATATCCCGCCCACAGGTAGCCAGGATAGTTAATTTGGCAAACTCATCCTTCTCCTTCCCTACATCTGTCTCAGCAGAATGGCAACAGGAGGAGGGGGTTAGTTGGAGGTTTTTCATTTTAAAGGCAGCTGAGGTTTTTACAAAAGAAAAAAGCTATATCTTTGTTTATTGCAAAACTTTTATATGTTCTCTCATTTTCCCCTGCTCTCTGCCCCCTCATTCCTCCTAGAAAATAGCTCCGCAGCCAATATCGTATTCTGAGACAGAATCTGCTTAATTTTATATACAGTTCTGTGCTACCTTGACAGTTGTGACTCTTTTAAATTGAGATTTTTGAGTGTTCCCCTCTCTCCTCCAGGAAGTTTAGCCTTCCAGCTTATTTGATTAAGAGAAATACAGGACAGTTAAGGCATTCAGTACTTATTCAGTATTTTTGTTTAAAGCTAGAAGCAGTGCTTGCTTTAGAAGTAAACGTGTAACAAAGGTATACAGTAGACCAATGCATTAATCTTGAAACTTGCACCACTTAATTGTAGTTTTGGGGTGCCCTGTGCACAACAAAATGTGATGGTTTTGTTTTAAAGGAAAGACACTGAATTTCTGTTGCAAGCTCACCTGGATCTAGTTGTTTTTGTGGATTGGGATTTGTTTTGGAGACCGCAAAATGCGAAATCATGGATTTACAAAATGTAAAATCTGATAACAAATCTCCATACCTTGCATGGGTCAGAAGAGTTGGCTAGAACCAACGGGTCTATTTGGACTACTTTTTGTAGTTGTGATGCTCTCTCTCAGCTTCACCCTTGGCCGCTCTAATTCTTTATGCCTCCTTGCCTTGTGGGACTTCTCTGTTTTCCCAGGGGCTGCTCTTTGAGCTGCACTTTCCCTTCTTCTCCAGGTCTTGCTCTCTGCTTCTTTCTCATCTTCACAGCTTTTTGCACAACTCCCATGGACGCAAACCAATGGGAACCCCCCTCTGCATACAAGACATAGTACATAAATTCAATGTTTTTTGCATCAGAAACTTATGGTTACATAGACATAGTTTGGATTTATGTGTTCTCTCTTTCCCCAGACTAATAACAAGTGCTTCTCTCCTTTTGGTGCAGTTGCATACAGTGAGTATGCACTTCCTCAAAAGAATTTGGTGGTATATTAAAAAGGTCCCAATGGGAAGGGTTTTGAGGTGAGCTTTTGTGTGTGTGTGTGCGTGCGTGTGTGCGTGCGTGTGTCTTACAGGACTGACTTGACAGTTCCTGAAGGTGCTTGGGTCCTAATGCTGATAATGGTCTTAAGTTAGCTGGAGGTGGTTCAGTTTACTTGTTTGTACTGTTTAGCTCTTAGAAAACAAAGAATGGACTGTTATTCCAAAATTAGGGAAGGAGAATGTCACTTCTCTCTTAGATGATAGCTTACTGACTGTACCATCTGCCCATGTTAGATGGCAGCAGGTAAATTGCCGGTGGTTCCAAAGAAGACATTTTGAACAAAGAATGTATTTGGGAAGTGGTCTCAAAGTGTTGTTTTTTTTTTCAGAAGAGAAGGTTCTCCAGGAATTTCTAGAGATGCATTTGAAGTTTTAAGCTAGGTAGAAATCAGGATGTTTATACAATAACATTAGAAAGAGCTTAGAAGGCTGAACTAACTTAGACATAGTAATGTCCCCTCAGAGCATGTTAAAGAACCCTGAAGGGATTGGGATAGGTTGGTACTTTAAAATAAAAACAAAAACAGAACTTTTTTTTTATTTTGTGGATTTTTAACTTTGCAGCAGTGTGTCAGCATATCTCTTGCATTCAGATCTTGAGAATTAATGACACAAAAAGCATTCAGAAATCTCCCAAACTTGTATCCTCATCTGCTAAATCTTCATTTCTGCTCCCAACATTTTCCAAAGACTCCTCCTCCAGTGAGTCATGTATCTCCCTTCTATCCCCATCTCCCTCCCCATCTTCACCTTGGAATATTGTGAGCAATTGAATTGGCTTGAATTTCTTTATTACATTGTGCCCTTACCTTTCACTCCTTTCTTTGCCCAGCTGGCCCAAGATATCAAACCGGAGTCTAATGGCTAAAGACTTATCCAAGCCCCTCTTCCCTTTCCTTCCATCTCTAGTCTTTTCAGAGACTCAGACCTTTTTCCTTCATCATATATGACTCTTGAATGGCTCTATGTGTTGGAGAAATTAGGTTATTGCTAGATTTGTTTCAATCCTTCTGTTGTAAATGCCATCAGAATTATAGTACTTCCTGTTGAAAAAGGCCATCCCTCTTTTTCCTTTATCCCCCTTCATCCTCAAACAGAATAAAACACTAAAATTTATTTATATGTATTTGATGTTGTAGGTCTAGGTGAAAAAATAAATGTTTCACTGCTCTATTTATATATTATGTCTGAATTATTCTGTGCAGGAAAGGCCAAGAAATGCATGAGAGCTTCATTCCATTCATCACCTTTGTGTGACTGTCAGCTGCAGTTGACAAGGCTTTCACTTAATAGACTTTTGTCTGTTGGAAAGCAGTTTTAGAGCCCAAAATTTTAACTGAATCTTCCATGTTATTTGTTATAGCTAGTACAAAGTTAGTGCAGTCTGTGATGCTCTTGAGAGTCAAATAAATGGAACTGTCTCTAGTCTTCAGTGTGCAGAAATGTAAAGGTTTTGGGCCCCATCTCCATTGCTGAAAAGTGGGCCCCCATAATGACGACGTTGATGCTGAAATTTGCCTTATCTGCAAACTGACTGCCAAATGTAAGCGGCCCCTGCTACTAGGACTGACACAGTTTGCAGTGGCAGGGAGAGGTGGAATCCAAACTCTCACAACAGTTGGTTAAGCAGAAGTATTCAGACACTGACTTTTTGTTCTGTATTTTAACCAGACTGTTTAGCAGAAGACCTGAAACATGTATGTGTGTAAATACTATTCCATTATGCGCAGCAACTGCTGGCCTGTCAGCATCATTCAGTGCTGCCTGCTTTCCTGTGTTTGGTTTGCTTTTAGCTCTTTTAAAACAAAAAATCAACCTGAGTTTTGAAAAAGATTCCCTGTATATTTTAAATAAAAAGTTAATTCGGCACAGTCACCAGTGAAGCAGGTATTGTTGTTGATCTTTCACTTTTGGCTCTCCCATTTGACAGCTGAACTGTAGTTAGTTACTCTTAATGTGTTCTCACCCCATTGATTCTCATATGTGTTTGTGTACATGCAGAGAGGTGCGCCATTTAACAGATTTCCTTGCAAGAATGCTGCAGAGCTACAAGCTGCCCTGTGGTTCATGTATATTTATATAGATATATAAAAACAGAGCTTAGCATTTCTGCTGTGTCTCACCTTTTGGCAAGCTACTATATTCACTTTTAAACAAGTACCACTCCATGCTAAGATCTGTTCTGCAGCATTATGTTATCCTTCTGTTTTGCTCCTGACTGATTAAGCACAGATTAATTCCTTGGAGGGTCAACTATTTTTGGCAGACAGCCCCCACTTTCCTTGTATGAAAGATTTATCTTATAAGAATTACATTACAAAAGAAGCAAAATCTTCTTAATATAGTTGCAGCCTATTGATGAGAGATGAACAAATTAGTAAACAATGGAACTACTGGCTGTGAAGAGGCAGAACCAGTCCAACTATGTATTTTTGTTTTGTTTTTTTAAAATCTTAATGCCACCAAGACATCCCAGGTGTCGTAGACAACTTTCTTGGATATAATTTGTCTACACCTAGCCAGTAGCCTTGGGAATCACAGCAGCAGCAATGAGGCACTCACTTTTTAGCATGTCAAGGCATTGTTCTTAGTTGGAATCCTTTCTCCTGGTTCCATATACATTGCATTCATTGTTTCTCAAGGGATATTGTACTCCTTAAAGCTTATAACCTCATGACCTGTATAGTAAAGTTTTTTTGGCCTTTCCTCTTTGTCTTTTCATGTAGACCAGATATTTGAAAGGGCAGACGATGGATAAATGTGTAATGTGCAACCTGTTTATTTTTTGGAAACTTGAACTTGGACCAGAACTCAAATCACAAAATCACCAGGCCAGTGGTGGCACACTCTTTTCCCTTTTCTGTACCTATTGTTTCTCCTTTCAAATATGTGATTGTATTAGCTCTTTCCATATGAAAGAATTCTCCTTATTTAAATAAAAAATGTTAAAAAATAAATAAAGCAGATTATGCTTTTCTCAAATCCCCCGTGTGATTTTGTTTGGTTTATATATGTAGGAAGAGAAATGTATGTATCTAGGATTTGCTCCTGTGGCTGTTAACATGCTCTCTCAACACTTAATGCTACGGGTAACATTCTCTACCATAACTGCACACATGGTTTTGTCTTTCCTACCAGACACAAAAATAGGGGCTACGTCTAGACTGGCATGAGTTTCCAGAAATGCTTTTAACGGAAAAGTTTTCCGTTAAAAGCGTTTTTGGAAAAGCGCGTCTAGATTGGCAGGACACTTTTCCGCAAAAGCACTTTTCGTGGAAAAGCGTCCGTGGCCAATCTAGATGCGCTTTTCTGCAAAAAAGCCCCGATCGCCATTTTCGCGATCGGGGCTTTTTGCGGAAAATAAATTTCTGCTGTCTACACTGGCCCTTTTGCGCAAAAGTTTTTCGGAAAAAGACTTTTGCCCGAACGGGAGCAGCATAGTATTTCCGCAAAAGCAGTGACAATCTTACATGAGATCGTCAGTGCTTTTGTGGAAATTGAAGCAGCCACTGTAGACAGCTGGCAAGTTTTTCCGGAAAAGCAGGTGCTTTTCCGGAAAACCTGGCTAGTCTAGACACAGCCAGGGTGGTTTCTAGTAGTGCCCTCTGCAGCTCACTGTAAAACCTAGGGCCACGACTGTGGGCTAGTGCCAAGGAACGGTCCACAGGGCTGTGAATCGGTAACCAGTTACCTAGTAAGCATCACTCTTAAGAGGCTGGGTGGAAGGGCTGTTCCGGTCCCGAGGCTTGATGAGCCTGCGCTGGATCCCGCTTGATGAGTCGAGAAATGCATCCCTGCTGTCAACTTAGCGTTTACAGACCACCCAGAAGAGGGGGAGCCCCGCTGCAGAGCTACCTCGGGCTGCAGGGGCTAAGACAAGTGCAGCTCTGCCTAGGGCTGCCCCCC